GTCACTACCGCGGTTGTCTACTGCCACCGGCGGTAGTGTACGTGACGTCACACACTCTATAACAAGCATAATACAAAGTTTTGTATACAAGTGTAATAATAGTAACAGTTGCAAATTGTTTTAGTCTATGCTAATTCACAAATTACCTCAAACGCCATACACGGCGTTTGATCTTTTAGATTGGCAGGTTTGAGCGCAGGAAAATACAGTACAGAATACAGAAACCACATACTACATCGCCAATCTGGAATCATTTCCATTCATGTCACTCATCCGCATTTGTACAAGTGTCTTCAAGTTCACGTGATCGCAAACGCTCGGCTGGTCAGGTTTGTATTTGCTGCATTCGGTGTTTTAAAAACAAAAAACATGAATTACCATTCTGAAACATCCTGTTGTAAGCGCGTTTGAGGAGGTGGTTGGTTGTCTCCTGTCGTCGCCGATTCAAGGTCTGAGTTCGGCTCAAACATGTAAGGCCGGACAACATTCAGCAGTGACCATCATTACTGGTGTTTCTATTGACCTTACTTGTGAGTATCACCAATCCTCAGCAAGCTACAGCATACATGACCCTAGTTACTTGTGGTTGGCCTGGCCGTGCGTCACTCAGAAAACAACAGGCCAATCAGAAGAGAGGCTCATGAATATTAATTAGACAGGCCAAAATCGACCTGGTGTGTATTCCAGAAAGCACGGTTAACTTACTGTCAGCTAAACCCTGCACTTTCGGTTGATTAACCCCAAACCTTGCTTACTCGAGGTATGTGGTTCCAAAAACGCGTCCGGGAGTTTAAAACAGTGTATACAAAGTAGCCTATTTTACAGAGAGATGCATGTGTGCGTTTGCAGAAAAGATCAAAATACAAAGATAAAAGAGATATAGTAAAACAAAGTAGCTACAATAACCAGTTTGTTAAAACAAAAATACAACAATAAAAAAATCAAGGAAAGACCCTGCACAAATCTGTTTTGAGACTACTTTTTAAAAGTGCATAATGATAACTTTTGACAACGTTTAATTCAGGTGCGAAAATAATTAATATCTATAGCGCATGAGCACAGAGAGATTTGCGAGTGCACAGGACAGTTTGAGTGAGAGGAGAGACACGTTTTAAGTGCGCGCACTCTCTCCGGGCGAGAGCAGCGTGTATCTGAGCGCGTGAGTCCAGTTTTGTGTGAGAGCAAAGGAAATCCGCGCGCTCGCGGAGAGATTCGCGCTCGCGCATTATATTAATGTGCTTTCGCGCTACAATAATGCGCTCTCGACATTTGTCATTAAAATAACGCCATACATCAAGACTTAAAATAAAACTCCAGAAAGGTGTAAAATATGTGACCTTTAAATAAATCTTCTGAATCAATGAATCAATGACTCACTCGCTTAGACAATTTTAGTTTCACATTTAAAGTATCAGTATTCAAATTATTATTTTTAAAACAGTAATCTAGTATTTATGCAGTTATAATTGCACTGTAAATACAGCTAAATGCTGCTTTAGATGCAGCTTCTGTGTAACTACTGTTGCAAAAACTATTAAATTGTCTTATTCAGATTTAGTTTATTGATTAAATGTAATAATTTGACAAAAGATGCATACATTAGACAAAAAAATATTCCTTAAAAATGCCCTGGAAATCGTTTGGCAAATATAGCTCTGTAATGAAGTTCATTTCTGTCACTGCTATGAACTGAAAACATCTGAAGAATATTAAAAGCTTTGGGAGGCAGCTGCCCACAACAGGCCTAACCAGTCAATATACCAACACAAATGCACACTAACAAAATATTGTATAATTATCGTTAGAAAATCCCAGAACATATCACTTATGATTCACCCACTGCTTCATTTCACTATTGTTATGCAGGTATTTCAATGAGATGTCCGCTCAAGGCCTACGTCCCCGTACCGTATCCAGCCCCATTCCCTACAGCCCTTCCCCGTCCTCCAGCAGGCCCATCTCACCAGGTACACCATGTTTACTTGAAAAAGTATTTTATGCATCTTTCCTAATGAACTTGATCATTTTAGTTTGCTATTGAAAATGGGTCACAGTTTCTATTGTGGTATTTTGTAATAATGAAAACGATGCATCTGTTTTCCTGTTGTGTACTCAAACATCATGAAAGAACAAAAGTAATAATGTAAAGTAACAAACCATTTTTCAATTCTTCATAAAGTGATTCAGAGTTGGTAAACATAAGTTGACTAAGTCAGATTCAGTCCACACCTGTCTTCAAGAGCAGGTATGGCCAACATTCCTTGACAGAACCAAACATTCGGATGAATGAAATCACTCAACATAGTAAATCCACAAGCACATAGATCTTTAGAAGATTTCTTTAGAAGTGCACTGCCCGTCTAGGCAGGTTTTTTGGTGTTATGGGTGTTCTGATGATGAAACATTTGGCTTAACAATAGGCAGCTACAACAAAATCCTCATTTTGACTGAAATCTAAGCTTGTATACTTTAATGAAAATGTCCATCTAAGATAGCAGAAATATTTTAAGGGAAATTACTATAAATATTTAATTTAAGGATTTGTTCACTCCAAAATGGAAGTTCAGTCATCATTTACTTCTGTCATTCCAAACCTGTGGGACATCTGTGAGACACAAAAGTGAATTTTGGAATCGAGCCCTGGCTGCACTTTTCAACATAATGAAAGTGAATGAGGACTGGATCTGTCAAGCTCCAAAGTTACAAAAATCATAAAAGTGCTTAATATGATGTTTTACTATATTAATAGTCTACTGAAGTCATTTGATAAATGTTTGTCAATTCTTCCTACAAGGCTGTGTTGTTATTCATATACTGTGTGTGTGTGTGTGTATATATAGATATATAAATATATAGATATATATATATATATATATACATGTAATATTCATATATTAATTCGATATATATGTACTGAGTGATTGCCGATTTGACAACGAATGTTCTTTTAGATCAGATATTTTCAATGGATTAATCAAAATGGCAAAACTGGTCTTAATTATTTATTCACTAATGTTAATATTTAGTTAACTCACTGACTCGACACAAAGGAGATTAATGACTTGAATTTCTATTCTCACAAAACTCCTTATTTATTGTTGTTGCATGGAAAATGGCACCAAGTAGATTATTACTGTATAGTAATGCATCTTAAAGGGTTAGTTCACCCAAAAATGAAAATTAGGCTGCGTTTTACTCACCCCCGAGGCATCCTAGGTG